TGCAAACGATACAGCTGCGTCCTTCACTTTCGGCAGGATCTGGACAGGTGCCAACGAACAACGGGGTGACAGCCGGCAAACCATTTGTTAGTGCGACAAAGCTGACCTCGGCGAAATCTCCGAACGTGATGCCAATCCTAACGTCTTCCGAGATTTGTCGTCAGCTGCATGAGCTGCGGCGCCAAAACGAAGAACTGCGCCGGCGGGCAGACTCCTTTCAGCGGGAGAAAGAGGAGATGCTGAGGCGCATCGACCGCCTGGAGCAGATGGTTAAGGTACGTTTAAGGAAAAGTTATTCATATACCGATAAGTGCATTCGTTAACCGCTCAGTAAGCGGAGGATTTCATAACATTTTATATCAGAACCGTATTAACACAAACGTTAAAAGTAACTGCAACAAATTCTAACTGCTGACTGCAGGTTAGGACAGTTAGCTATCTACCTTAAAATGCATTTTTAGTTGACTATTAAGAACCGATTTTGCATAATTTAATAAATCTTTTAAAAAAACTAAGAGTTTAAATTTGAAATTTGAAACTGAAAAGCAAGCAGTGCTGCAGTTAGGTGCATTTCGTAAATCGACTCATTTTCTCGTCAGCTCAGAGTGCGTGATCAATTTGTAGTATTTTTTAGTATTACCCCGAAAATAGTAAAATAAAAACAAATACCGAGAAAACAACCAAAACCTTCTGCCCTGTTTAAATTCCACTGCAATTCATGCGCACTGTTAAAATTCCACTCCATTACACACTGTTAACGGCCATACGAAAAGCACTCAATGCAGCTGTTAGCGCTTAACAGAGCTTAAACAGAATTCCAGTCGACTCATTTTCTCGTCAACCCAGCTCAGAGGGATTTTTAGTATTTTTAGTATCACCCCGAAGTAAAACAAAAACAAATACCGAAAAAAAAACAAGATATCTGCACGTGTTTTGTTTAGGCAAAACAAAAAAATGGTAAGATTCGGTAAAGTTGCTTCGGATTAATATTAATAGTTGTGCGAATTGCCAGGGCAAAAAGCCAGCAGATGAAATACCCGGGTTCCCGTCGCTGGAGGGCGTGGGCGGATCTGGAGGCGACGACATCCTCAAGTCCAAGCCCAAATCGAAGAAGAGCGGAGGATTCCAGTCGATGGGTCTTGGCTTTGAGCTCATCAAGGGAATCACGAAGCGGGGATACAAGGTGCCGACTCCCATCCAGCGGAAGACGATTCCCTTGATCTTGGAGGGCCGCGATGTGGTGGCCATGGCCAAGACGGGCTCCGGCAAAACGGCCTGCTTCCTGATTCCCCTCTTCGAGAAGCTGCAGCGGCGCGAGCCCACAAAGGGAGCCCGTGCGCTTATATTGTCCCCAACACGCGAGCTGGCGGTGCAAACGTACAAGTTCATCAAGGAGCTGGGCCGCTTCATGGAGCTGAAGACTATTCTGGTTCTTGGTGGCGACTCCATGGACTCGCAGTTCTCGGCCATACACACCTGCCCCGACGTCATTGTAGCCACGCCAGGCCGTTTTCTCCACTTGTGTGTGGAAATGGACTTAAAGCTGAACTCCATAGGTGAGATCAAAGTTCCAAGACCTAAAAACAAGGACTAATGTTTTCGTTTTCAGAGTACGTGGTGTTCGATGAGGCCGACAGACTTTTCGAGATGGGCTTCGGCGAGCAGCTTAACGAAACGCTGCACAGACTGCCGTCCTCCCGTCAGATGGTCATGTTCTCGGCCACTCTGCCGAAGCTCTTGGTGGACTTTGCCCGCGCAGGCCTGAACGACCCAGTTCTAATTCGTTTGGACGTCGAGTCCAAGCTCCCGGACGCACTGGCTCTAAAGTTTCTGTACTGCCGACCGGACGACCGCTACACAGCTCTCGTGGTTCTCCTTAAGTACGTTATCCCTGTGGAGTCGCAGACCGTGGTGTTTGCCGGCACACAGCACCATGTGGAACTTATTTCGTACATCCTCACCGAGGCTGGCATCTCTAATGCGTCGGTCTACTCTAGCCTGGACCCGGCTGCCCGAAAAATAAACACCGCCAAGTTTGTGAACAAGAAGGTTTCCGTGTTAATCGTCACAGACGTAGCCGCCCGCGGAATCGACATTCCCAGCTTGGACTTTGTTGTGAACCTCCATTTTCCGGGTAAACCGAAGCTGTTTGTGCATCGGGTGGGTCGTTGCGCAAGAGCAGGTCGCACAGGGACCGCGTACTCTATATTTTCCACAGACGACACAGCTCATCTACTGGATCTGCACTTGTTCTTAAACAGGCCATTCAATATAAACGACAGCGCGGCAATGGGAACCATTCCGCAAGATTTGCTCGAGGAGGAGCATCTCACAGTGACGGATATTAAAAAGAGCCACCACATTGTAAGTAGATCTAATAGTTTGCTGTCGATTTCTAATAATTTGAGAAATATTTAAAAACTGTTTACAGGCTGGAGTATTGCGCACCAGCGAAAACGCTTACAAAAAATACTTGAGTTCCCGACCTGTTGCCTCCACTGATGCCAATGCGCGCGTGAAGAAAATTAAGTTCTTTGCGCTGAAACCGCTGGAGGATTTCTTCACAGCTGCTCCCGCACTGGCTCAGGCTGCTGAAGTTAATGGACAACTGACAGAATCGCAGGCAAAGGTGGCTGCAGACGAGCGCAAGTTGCAGGAGGACAAGCACGATATACTGGTCAAAATGCGTAGTTTCCGACCAGGTGGCGTAAGTTTATCATGGCATTTATGTCAACACTTTTCTAATCGATTGTGGGGCTTTCAGACCGTTTTTGAACTTAACACCACGCAAAAGTCCACTCAGTTTATTGTAATGAAGGAGAAACGGAATCAGCACGCGGAAGTGATTCAAAAGTTCAGGCAGCAGCGCGCAGACGAGGACATCGACGAGGCGAAGAAAATGGCGGAGGAGCAAAGTCCAAGCCTAGCCAGGATGCCAACTGCCGACGAGGAAGCCATTAGCAGTACATTCAATAAAGTCGTTGCGCCCAAGAGGCTCCAAAACATGGACGCACTTTACAAGGATAAGACCAAGAGGAAGAAGCGCAAGATTAACAGCAAGGACGAGGAGCACTACGTGCCTTATCAATCGGCGGACAAGCATACGGAGGATGGCCTGGCCATCAACACCTTTGAGCGTCAGGCGCAGAACGCCGAGTTCTCTGTGTCAGACCGCAATTCTGCCCAGGACGTAAAACACAAGCCAGGGCTTAAGAAGTGGGACCGTATCAAGAAGAAGATGGTCTCAGTGCAGGATCCCCGAGCCAACAAGATTCGGACCGAGTCCGGTGCATGGATTCCTGCTTCGTTTAAGACGGGTCGTTATACTGAATGGAAGGAGAAGTCCAAGATTGAGGACCAGCTTCAGCGTGAAAACGCAGGCAGTGACGATGACAACGCCAAGCCTCTGAGCCACGCCCAGCGGTATCCGGTCAGTCGCCATGCGCGGCACAACGTAAAGCTGGAACTTAAGAAACGTCTTACCGGAAACGACAAGGAGATGCGGCGCCCCGAGCAGATTGTCAAGTCACGCATGCGACTGGAGTTTATTAAAAAGCGCAACGAGGACAACGCGGAGCGGAAAAACGAGAACCGCAAGCGCAGTATGCGGAAAACAGCGTCCAAAAGCTCAATCAACTGGTGGGCCCAGGAAACGGAAGTAGGAGTTTCCACAAAGGTTAGTAGCACAACGTTAAGCCGATTTGGTTAGGTTTTGTGTGGAAATTGTGGTTAAATGGAGTGTGGCATAGACTAGGCTAAGGCAAACAGTCAGTTAATTCGTTCTGCCGTGACATTTTATTTAATTATCTTTTCTAAGCAAACTGTTACGTCCCTAAGCCTAAATGAGTCTTAATTATTTGTGAAGTTGGGGGAAGCGAAAAACTGTAAATAACTATTAAAAATACACTGAAGTGATTTCACAGGCCAAATCCGATCCGATCCTTGTCTGTCAAGCAAAGCCATTAGAGCTCTATGGAAATGTCGCTTCCGTTCAACTTCGGGTGGTTGCCGCATTGAAAGACAAAGTCAAGACATAATCTGGGTATCAAGACTCATTTTGGGTATTTGGGTAAATTTTCTTTTAGATTTATGAAGGGTTTCAAGTGGATGTAATGTACACAGGATATCAAACGCAGGAAATGCGGAAGCCTTTTAAACTCGGGTTTTTCCGCCCTTGATGACTGATTTACCAAAGCGTTAGAAAGCATTTAAAAAGTCAGAGGTCTGACATGCTCCTTTAATACGGGTCTATAGTGTAAATAATGGACCCATGTGAAATTACGCCATCTGACTGGTCTCTTTTCGAACATGACCCAAATAGGACATGGTCTGTGAGTCCGACCTATGTGCGTGCCGCGGGATGTGTCACGGGGTGTGTTTACCACGTGCAGGCCAGGTATTCGATTTCGGGCTCACCATAGGGCGCTCCCGCGTCCGATGACACGCACATCCCTTGCGTGCCCTAAGCAAACCCTCTGCACACCGGGAGCAGGCCTTTGCTCTGCTGCGTGCGCACACCCAAAAATAAGGAGAACTGCCTTCATTAATCCATCTTGTTCTGAGTTCGGGAAGATCCTCGAACTGTGTTGTGCGCAGCCACCACCCATGTAGCAGCAATTGCAATAAGCGCTTTGCTGCTGCTGCCCGCAGATGGTCGAGTAATTGATTATTAAAATTTATTGATAAGGAATCAATTGGTCTGCCTTTTCCCTCACCCGTGCGGAAGAAATGACTTGACATATTTTACCTAAGCTGCGTATGCCAGGTCCTGTTTAAGAGAAGATTCCACACTAAATCCAGCTTTTATTTACTTTACGCCCACTCCTGCCGGGACTGATTTAATTTTTGTTTTCATCCACAGAGATAATTGGCTGTTCATGGGAAAATAATATAAATCGCCTCCCAGAAATAAAACACTCAAAATATTTGTTCAGTACAGTTCGACAGTCCCCCACTGGACTTAGGATTTAAAAAGTGTTTTTTTAAAAATACACGATGAAATGCGTGAAGTACGACATGTTTGATATGTGTGAATAACTCTCCTCCCCAGAAGATTCGCATGAATGTCATTAAGCAAAAGGATCTTCCGTCTCCAGCGGGGGTTACCAAGAACAAGGTATTTATTTTGGTATTTTTTCTCGCACATTTCTACAGTAAAATCTATTTATTATTTACAGAATATACGCATAATCTCGTTGACTGATTTCAAGAAGCTCTGCGGATCAGACAATCAAACAAAGTCCCTACAAAAAATACCCGCATCGTTGGCAAGGTATGTGGTTTAATTAATTTCGGCCGACTTCTATACAATTTTTCTCCCCTCGACAGCTCTGGAATGGTACGCCAGCTACCCGATGGCACCAAGCTAGTCAACATGCGCCAGCTGCAGGCTCGACAGGTTTGTAGTACTCACTTCACTTGGCTAGTTTTGTAGATATCTTTCCCTAATGGGCATTTAGTTTTTATCTCAGAAAATGTACAAAAAACTAAAATACAGTTGCCGTTTTCTTTTTTTCTAGCTAAAGCTCCCGTCCCTGCAAAGACCCTTGGAGCCCACCACCATATTAGAAGAGTCCCAGGGTCTGAACGAACCCGTGGCCCTACCTACACTGCCCGCGAACCATCCCGCGTCCAGTAGTTCGCTCAGGGGACAAGTAGGCACCGTGCAAACGATACAGCTGCGTCCTTCACTTTCGGCAGGATCTGGACAGGTGCCAACGAACAACGGGGTGACAGCCGGCAAACCATTTGTTAGTGCGACAAAGCTGACCTCGGCGAAATCTCCGAACGTGATGCCAATCCTAACGTCTTCCGAGATTTGTCGTCAGCTGCATGAGCTGCGGCGCCAAAACGAAGAACTGCGCCGGCGGGCAGACTCCTTTCAGCGGGAGAAAGAGGAGATGCTGAGGCGCATCGACCGCCTGGAGCAGATGGTTAAGGTACGTTTAAGGAAAAGTTATTCATATACCGATAAGTGCATTCGTTAACCGCTCAGTAAGCGGAGGATTTCATAACATTTTATATCAGAACCGTATTAACACAAACGTTAAAAGTAACTGCAACAAATTCTAACTGCTGACTGCAGGTTAGGACAATTAGCTATCTACCTTAAAATGCATTTTTAGTTGACTATTAAGAACCGATTTTGCATAATTTAATAAATCTTTTAAAAAAACTAAGAGTTTAAATTTGAAATTTGAAACTGAAAAGCAAGCAGTGCTGCAGTTAGGTGCATTTCGTAAATCGACTCATTTTCTCGTCAGCTCAGAGTGCGTGATCAATTTGTAGTATTTTTTAGTATTACCCCGAAAATAGTAAAATAAAAACAAATACCGAGAAAACAACCAAAACCTTCTGCCCTGTTTAAATTCCACTGCAATTCATGCGCACTGTTAAAATTCCACTCCATTACACACTGTTAACGGCCATACGAAAAGCACTCAATGCAGCTGTTAGCGCTTAACAGAGCTTAAACAGAATTCCAGTCGACTCATTTTCTCGTCAACCCAGCTCAGAGGGATTTTTAGTATTTTTAGTATCACCCCGAAGTAAAACAAAAACAAATACCGAAAAAAAAAACAAGATATCTGCACGTGTTTTGTTTAGGCAAAACAAAAAAAATGGTAAGATTCGGTAAAGTTGCTTCGGATTAATATTAATAGTTGTGCGAATTGCCAGGGCAAAAAGCCAGCAGATGAAATACCCGGGTTCCCGTCGCTGGAGGGCGTGGGCGGATCTGGAGGCGACGACATCCTCAAGTCCAAGCCCAAATCGAAGAAGAGCGGAGGATTCCAGTCGATGGGTCTTGGCTTTGAGCTCATCAAGGGAATCACGAAGCGGGGATACAAGGTGCCGACTCCCATCCAGCGGAAGACGATTCCCTTGATCTTGGAGGGCCGCGATGTGGTGGCCATGGCCAAGACGGGCTCCGGCAAAACGGCCTGCTTCCTGATTCCCCTCTTCGAGAAGCTGCAGCGGCGCGAGCCCACAAAGGGAGCCCGTGCGCTTATATTGTCCCCAACACGCGAGCTGGCGGTGCAAACGTACAAGTTCATCAAGGAGCTGGGCCGCTTCATGGAGCTGAAGACTATTCTGGTTCTTGGTGGCGACTCCATGGACTCGCAGTTCTCGGCCATACACACCTGCCCCGACGTCATTGTAGCCACGCCAGGCCGTTTTCTCCACTTGTGTGTGGAAATGGACTTAAAGCTGAACTCCATAGGTGAGATCAAAGTTCCAAGACCTAAAAACAAGGACTAATGTTTTCGTTTTCAGAGTACGTGGTGTTCGATGAGGCCGACAGACTTTTCGAGATGGGCTTCGGCGAGCAGCTTAACGAAACGCTGCACAGACTGCCGTCCTCCCGTCAGATGGTCATGTTCTCGGCCACTCTGCCGAAGCTCTTGGTGGACTTTGCCCGCGCAGGCCTGAACGACCCAGTTCTAATTCGTTTGGACGTCGAGTCCAAGCTCCCGGACGCACTGGCTCTAAAGTTTCTGTACTGCCGACCGGACGACCGCTACACAGCTCTCGTGGTTCTCCTTAAGTACGTTATCCCTGTGGAGTCGCAGACCGTGGTGTTTGCCGGCACACAGCACCATGTGGAACTTATTTCGTACATCCTCACCGAGGCTGGCATCTCTAATGCGTCGGTCTACTCTAGCCTGGACCCGGCTGCCCGAAAAATAAACACCGCCAAGTTTGTGAACAAGAAGGTTTCCGTGTTAATCGTCACAGACGTAGCCGCCCGCGGAATCGACATTCCCAGCTTGGACTTTGTTGTGAACCTCCATTTTCCGGGTAAACCGAAGCTGTTTGTGCATCGGGTGGGTCGTTGCGCAAGAGCAGGTCGCACAGGGACCGCGTACTCTATATTTTCCACAGACGACACAGCTCATCTACTGGATCTGCACTTGTTCTTAAACAGGCCATTCAATATAAACGACAGCGCGGCAATGGGAACCATTCCGCAAGATTTGCTCGAGGAGGAGCATCTCACAGTGACGGATATTAAAAAGAGCCACCACATTGTAAGTAGATCTAATAGTTTGCTGTCGATTTCTAATAATTTGAGAAATATTTAAAAACTGTTTACAGGCTGGAGTATTGCGCACCAGCGAAAACGCTTACAAAAAATACTTGAGTTCCCGACCTGTTGCCTCCACTGATGCCAATGCGCGCGTGAAGAAAATTAAGTTCTTTGCGCTGAAACCGCTGGAGGATTTCTTCACAGCTGCTCCCGCACTGGCTCAGGCTGCTGAAGTTAATGGACAACTGACAGAATCGCAGGCAAAGGTGGCTGCAGACGAGCGCAAGTTGCAGGAGGACAAGCACGATATACTGGTCAAAATGCGTAGTTTCCGACCAGGTGGCGTAAGTTTATCATGGCATTTATGTCAACACTTTTCTAATCGATTGTGGGGCTTTCAGACCGTTTTTGAACTTAACACCACGCAAAAGTCCACTCAGTTTATTGTAATGAAGGAGAAACGGAATCAGCACGCGGAAGTGATTCAAAAGTTCAGGCAGCAGCGCGCAGACGAGGACATCGACGAGGCGAAGAAAATGGCGGAGGAGCAAAGTCCAAGCCTAGCCAGGATGCCAACTGCCGACGAGGAAGCCATTAGCAGTACATTCAATAAAGTCGTTGCGCCCAAGAGGCTCCAAAACATGGACCCACTTTACAAGGATAAGACCAAGAGGAAGAAGCGCAAGATTAACAGCAAGGACGAGGAGCACTACGTGCCTTATCAATCGGCGGACAAGCATACGGAGGATGGCCTGGCCATCAACACCTTTGAGCGTCAGGCGCAGAACGCCGAGTTCTCTGTGTCAGACCGCAATTCTGCCCAGGACGTAAAACACAAGCCAGGGCTTAAGAAGTGGGACCGTATCAAGAAGAAGATGGTCTCAGTGCAGGATCCCCGAGCCAACAAGATTCGGACCGAGTCCGGTGCATGGATTCCTGCTTCGTTTAAGACGGGTCGTTATACTGAATGGAAGGAGAAGTCCAAGATTGAGGACCAGCTTCAGCGTGAAAACGCAGGCAGTGACGATGACAACGCCAAGCCTCTGAGCCACGCCCAGCGGTATCCGGTCAGTCGCCATGCGCGGCACAACGTAAAGCTGGAACTTAAGAAACGTCTTACCGGAAACGACAAGGAGATGCGGCGCCCCGAGCAGATTGTCAAGTCACGCATGCGACTGGAGTTTATTAAAAAGCGCAACGAGGACAACGCGGAGCGGAAAAACGAGAACCGCAAGCGCAGTATGCGGAAAAATCAGCGTCCAAAAGCTCAATCAACTGGTGGGCCCAGGAAACGGAAGTAGGAGTTTCCACAAAGGTTAGTAGCACAACGTTAAGCCGATTTGGTTAGGTTTTGTGTGGAAATTGTGGTTAAATGGAGTGTGGCATAGACTAGGCTAAGGCAAACAGTCAGTTAATTCGTTCTGCCGTGACATTTTATTTAATTATCTTTTCTAAGCAAACTGTTACGTCCCTAAGCCTAAATGAGTCTTAATTATTTGTGAAGTTGGGGGAAGCGAAAAACTGTAAATAACTATTAAAAATACACTGAAGTGATTTCACAGGCCAAATCCGATCCGATCCTTGTCTGTCAAGCAAAGCCATTAGAGCTCTATGGAAATGTCGCTTCCGTTCAACTTCGGGTGGTTGCCGCATTGAAAGACAAAGTCAAGACATAATCTGGGTATCAAGACTCATATTGGGTATTTGGGTAAATTTTCTTTTAGATTTATGAAGGGTTTCAAGTGGATGTAATGTACACAGGATATCAAACGCAGGAAATGCGGAAGCCTTTTAAACTCGGGTTTTTCCGCCCTTGATGACTGATTTACCAAAGCGTTAGAAAGCATTTAAAAAGTCAGAGGTCTGACATGCTCCTTTAATACGGGTCTATAGTGTAAATAATGGACCCATGTGAAATTACGCCATCTGACTGGTCTCTTTTCGAACATGACCCAAATAGGACATGGTCTGTGAGTCCGACCTATGTGCGTGCCGCGGGATGTGTCACGGGGTGTGTTTACCACGTGCAGGCCAGGTATTCGATTTCGGGCTCACCATAGGGCGCTCCCGCGTCCGATGACACGCACATCCCTTGCGTGCCCTAAGCAAACCCTCTGCACACCGGGAGCAGGCCTTTGCTCTGCTGCGTGCGCACACCCAAAAATAAGGAGAACTGCCTTCATTAATCCATCTTGTTCTGAGTTCGGGAAGATCCTCGAACTGTGTTGTGCGCAGCCACCACCCATGTAGCAGCAATTGCAATAAGCGCTTTGCTGCTGCTGCCCGCAGATGGTCGAGTAATTGATTATTAAAATTTATTGATAAGGAATCAATTGGTCTGCCTTTTCCCTCACCCGTGCGGAAGAAATGACTTGACATATTTTACCTAAGCTGCGTATGCCAGGTCCTGTTTAAGAGAAGATTCCACACTAAATCCAGCTTTTATTTACTTTACGCCCACTCCTGCCGGGACTGATTTAATTTTTGTTTTCATCCACAGAGATAATTGGCTGTTCATGGGAAAATAATATAAATCGCCTCCCAGAAATAAAACACTCAAAATATTTGTTCAGTACAGTTCGACAGTCCCCCACTGGACTTAGGATTTAAAAAGTGTTTTTTTAAAAATACACGATGAAATGCGTGAAGTACGACATGTTTGATATGTGTGAATAACTCTCCTCCCCAGAAGATTCGCATGAATGTCATTAAGCAAAAGGATCTTCCGTCTCCAGCGGGGGTTACCAAGAACAAGGTATTTATTTTGGTATTTTTTCTCGCACATTTCTACAGTAAAATCTATTTATTATTTACAGAATATACGCATAATCTCGTTGACTGATTTCAAGAAGCTCTGCGGATCAGACAATCAAACAAAGTCCCTACAAAAAATACCCGCATCGTTGGCAAGGTATGTGGTTTAATTAATTTCGGCCGACTTCTATACAATTTTTCTCCCCTCGACAGCTCTGGAATGGTACGCCAGCTACCCGATGGCACCAAGCTAGTCAACATGCGCCAGCTGCAGGCTCGACAGGTTTGTAGTACTCACTTCACTTGGCTAGTTTTGTAGATATCTTTCCCTAATGGGCATTTAGTTTTTATCTCAGAAAATGTACAAAAAACTAAAATACAGTTGCCGTTTTCTTTTTTTCTAGCTAAAGCTCCCGTCCCTGCAAAGACCCTTGGAGCCCACCACCATATTAGAAGAGTCCCAGGGTCTGAACGAACCCGTGGCCCTACCTACACTGCCCGCGAACCATCCCGCGTCCAGTAGTTCGCTCAGGGGACAAGTAGGCACCGTGCAAACGATACAGCTGCGTCCTTCACTTTCGGCAGGATCTGGACAGGTGCCAACGAACAACGGGGTGACAGCCGGCAAACCATTTGTTAGTGCGACAAAGCTGACCTCGGCGAAATCTCCGAACGTGATGCCAATCCTAACGTCTTCCGAGATTTGTCGTCAGCTGCATGAGCTGCGGCGCCAAAACGAAGAACTGCGCCGGCGGGCAGACTCCTTTCAGCGGGAGAAAGAGGAGATGCTGAGGCGCATCGACCGCCTGGAGCAGATGGTGTTGGTTCGAGAGTCTGAGGCGGACATGGATTTCGGGGACGACGGTTAACTAGAGCTAAGATAGGATTATTGTACATACGTTAAGGTACGTTTAAGGAAAAGTTATTCATATACCGATAAGTGCATTCGTTAACCGCTCAGTAAGCGGAGGATTTCATAACATTTTATATCAGAACCGTATTAACACAAACGTTAAAAGTAACTGCAACAAATTCTAACTGCTGACTGCAGGTTAGGACAGTTAGCTATCTACCTTAAAATGCATTTTTAGTTGACTATTAAGAACCGATTTTGCATAATTTAATAAATCTTTTAAAAAAACTAAGAGTTTAAATTTGAAATTTGAAACTGAAAAGCAAGCAGTGCTGCAGTTAGGTGCATTTCGTAAATCGACTCATTTTCTCGTCAGCTCAGAGTGCGTGATCAATTTGTAGTATTTTTTAGTATTACCCCGAAAATAGTAAAATAAAAACAAATACCGAGAAAACAACCAAAACCTTCTGCCCTGTTTAAATTCCACTGCAATTCATGCGCACTGTTAAAATTCCACTCCATTACACACTGTTAACGGCCATACGAAAAGCACTCAATGCAGCTGTTAGCGCTTAACAGAGCTTAAACAGAATTCCAGTCGACTCATTTTCTCGTCAACCCAGCTCAGAGGGATTTTTAGTATTTTTAGTATCACCCCGAAGTAAAACAAAAACAAATACCGAAAAAAAAAACAAGATATCTGCACGTGTTTTGTTTAGGCAAAACAAAAAAATGGTAAGATTCGGTAAAGTTGCTTCGGATTAATATTAATAGTTGTGCGAATTGCCAGGGCAAAAAGCCAGCAGATGAAATACCCGGGTTCCCGTCGCTGGAGGGCGTGGGCGGATCTGGAGGCGACGACATCCTCAAGTCCAAGCCCAAATCGAAGAAGAGCGGAGGATTCCAGTCGATGGGTCTTGGCTTTGAGCTCATCAAGGGAATCACGAAGCGGGGATACAAGGTGCCGACTCCCATCCAGCGGAAGACGATTCCCTTGATCTTGGAGGGCCGCGATGTGGTGGCCATGGCCAAGACGGGCTCCGGCAAAACGGCCTGCTTCCTGATTCCCCTCTTCGAGAAGCTGCAGCGGCGCGAGCCCACAAAGGGAGCCCGTGCGCTTATATTGTCCCCAACACGCGAGCTGGCGGTGCAAACGTACAAGTTCATCAAGGAGCTGGGCCGCTTCATGGAGCTGAAGACTATTCTGGTTCTTGGTGGCGACTCCATGGACTCGCAGTTCTCGGCCATACACACCTGCCCCGACGTCATTGTAGCCACGCCAGGCCGTTTTCTCCACTTGTGTGTGGAAATGGACTTAAAGCTGAACTCCATAGGTGAGATCAAAGTTCCAAGACCTAAAAACAAGGACTAATGTTTTCGTTTTCAGAGTACGTGGTGTTCGATGAGGCCGACAGACTTTTCGAGATGGGCTTCGGCGAGCAGCTTAACGAAACGCTGCACAGACTGCCGTCCTCCCGTCAGATGGTCATGTTCTCGGCCACTCTGCCGAAGCTCTTGGTGGACTTTGCCCGCGCAGGCCTGAACGACCCAGTTCTAATTCGTTTGGACGTCGAGTCCAAGCTCCCGGACGCACTGGCTCTAAAGTTTCTGTACTGCCGACCGGACGACCGCTACACAGCTCTCGTGGTTCTCCTTAAGTACGTTATCCCTGTGGAGTCGCAGACCGTGGTGTTTGCCGGCACACAGCACCATGTGGAACTTATTTCGTACATCCTCACCGAGGCTGGCATCTCTAATGCGTCGGTCTACTCTAGCCTGGACCCGGCTGCCCGAAAAATAAACACCGCCAAGTTTGTGAACAAGAAGGTTTCCGTGTTAATCGTCACAGACGTAGCCGCCCGCGGAATCGACATTCCCAGCTTGGACTTTGTTGTGAACCTCCATTTTCCGGGTAAACCGAAGCTGTTTGTGCATCGGGTGGGTCGTTGCGCAAGAGCAGGTCGCACAGGGACCGCGTACTCTATATTTTCCACAGACGACACAGCTCATCTACTGGATCTGCACTTGTTCTTAAACAGGCCATTCAATATAAACGACAGCGCGGCAATGGGAACCATTCCGCAAGATTTGCTCGAGGAGGAGCATCTCACAGTGACGGATATTAAAAAGAGCCACCACATTGTAAGTAGATCTAATAGTTTGCTGTCGATTTCTAATAATTTGAGAAATATTTAAAAACTGTTTACAGGCTGGAGTATTGCGCACCAGCGAAAACGCTTACAAAAAATACTTGAGTTCCCGACCTGTTGCCTCCACTGATGCCAATGCGCGCGTGAAGAAAATTAAGTTCTTTGCGCTGAAACCGCTGGAGGATTTCTTCACAGCTGCTCCCGCACTGGCTCAGGCTGCTGAAGTTAATGGACAACTGACAGAATCGCAGGCAAAGGTGGCTGCAGACGAGCGCAAGTTGCAGGAGGACAAGCACGATATACTGGTCAAAATGCGTAGTTTCCGACCAGGTGGCGTAAGTTTATCATGGCATTTATGTCAACACTTTTCTAATCGATTGTGGGGCTTTCAGACCGTTTTTGAACTTAACACCACGCAAAAGTCCACTCAGTTTATTGTAATGAAGGAGAAACGGAATCAGCACGCGGAAGTGATTCAAAAGTTCAGGCAGCAGCGCGCAGACGAGGACATCGACGAGGCGAAGAAAATGGCGGAGGAGCAAAGTCCAAGCCTAGCCAGGATGCCAACTGCCGACGAGGAAGCCATTAGCAGTACATTCAATAAAGTCGTTGCGCCCAAGAGGCTCCAAAACATGGACGCACTTTACAAGGATAAGACCAAGAGGAAGAAGCGCAAGATTAACAGCAAGGACGAGGAGCACTACGTGCCTTATCAATCGGCGGACAAGCATACGGAGGATGGCCTGGCCATCAACACCTTTGAGCGTCAGGCGCAGAACGCCGAGTTCTCTGTGTCAGACCGCAATTCTGCCCAGGACGTAAAACACAAGCCAGGGCTTAAGAAGTGGGACCGTATCAAGAAGAAGATGGTCTCAGTGCAGGATCCCCGAGCCAACAAGATTCGGACCGAGTCCGGTGCATGGATTCCTGCTTCGTTTAAGACGGGTCGTTATACTGAATGGAAGGAGAAGTCCAAGATTGAGGACCAGCTTCAGCGTGAAAACGCAGGCAGTGACGATGACAACGCCAAGCCTCTGAGCCACGCCCAGCGGTATCCGGTCAGTCGCCATGCGCGGCACAACGTAAAGCTGGAACTTAAGAAACGTCTTACCGGAAACGACAAGGAGATGCGGCGCCCCGAGCAGATTGTCAAGTCACGCATGCGACTGGAGTTTATTAAAAAGCGCAACGAGGACAACGCGGAGCGGAAAAACGAGAACCGCAAGCGCAGTATGCGGAAAAATCAGCGTCCAAAAGCTCAATCAACTGGTGGGCCCAGGAAACGGAAGTAGGAGTTTCCACAAAGGTTAGTAGCACAACGTTAAGCCGATTTGGTTAGGTTTTGTGTGGAAATTGTGGTTAAATGGAGTGTGGCATAGACTAGGCTAAGGCAAACAGTCAGTTAATTCGTTCTGCCGTGACATTTTATTTAATTATCTTTTCTAAGCAAACTGTTACGTCCCTAAGCCTAAATGAGTCTTAATTATTTGTGAAGTTGGGGGAAGCGAAAAACTGTAAATAACTATTAAAAATACACTGAAGTGATTTCACAGGCCAAATCCGATCCGATCCTTGTCTGTCAAGCAAAGCCATTAGAGCTCTATGGAAATGTCGCTTCCGTTCAACTTCGGGTGGTTGCCGCATTGAAAGACAAAGTCAAGACATAATCTGGGTATCAAGACTCATATTGGGTATTTGGGTAAATTTTCTTTTAGATTTATGAAGGGTTTCAAGTGGATGTAATGTACACAGGATATCAAACGCAGGAAATGCGGAAGCCTTTTAAACTCGGGTTTTTCCGCCCTTGATGACTGATTTACCAAAGCGTTAGAAAGCATTTAAAAAGTCAGAGGTCTGACATGCTCCTTTAATACGGGTCTATAGTGTAAATAATGGACCCATGTGAAATTACGCCATCTGACTGGTCTCTTTTCGAACATGACCCAAATAGGACATGGTCTGTGAGTCCGACCTATGTGCGTGCCGCGGGATGTGTCACGGGGTGTGTTTACCACGTGCAGGCCAGGTATTCGATTTCGGGCTCACCATAGGGCGCTCCCGCGTCCGATGACACGCACATCCCTTGCGTGCCCTAAGCAAACCCTCTGCACACCGGGAGCAGGCCTTTGCTCTGCTGCGTGCGCACACCCAAAAATAAGGAGAACTGCCTTCATTAATCCATCTTGTTCTGAGTTCGGGAAGATCCTCGAACTGTGTTGTGCGCAGCCACCACCCATGTAGCAGCAATTGCAATAAGCGCTTTGCTGCTGCTGCCCGCAGATGGTCGAGTAATTGATTATTAAAATTTATTGATAAGGAATCAATTGGTCTGCCTTTTCCCTCACCCGTGCGGAAGAAATGACTTGACATATTTTACCTAAGCTGCGTATGCCAGGTCCTGTTTAAGAGAAGATTCCACACTAAATCCAGCTTTTATTTACTTTACGCCCACTCCTGCCGGGACTGATTTAATTTTTGTTTTCATCCACAGAGATAATTGGCTGTTCATGGGAAAATAATATAAATCGCCTCCCAGAAATAAAACACTCAAAATATTTGTTCAGTACAGTTCGACAGTCCCCCACTGGACTTAGGATTTAAAAAGTGTTTTTTTTAAAAATACACGATGAAATGCGTGAAGTACGACATGTTTGATATGGGACTTTTGGGTGCGATATGAGAGTGCCGTCGAGAGAGGGGAAACCACCATAAGTGAAGAAGAATTGTCATAAACAAATGTGTATACCAAAGTGGAACACCAACTTGAGTTCGGCCGGAGCTGAGGAACTTCGAAGGGATCGTGTTCTATGCCGGAGCATATGGTCCCCATCTACTACCGTGGGATTCCCCCTGGGCCAGTTTTTATTTTCGTGCTGGCTTGCCGCGCATTCGGTCGGTGTCTTTTAATGCCATATGTGCGTGGGGCAGGAACTCCAATGCATCTGCCACTTAATTTTCGCAGGGGTGCCTAAAATAGACCATATATTCCCGCCCATATTTATGTTCCGAGAGGGATCCAAGTACTTGATCCGGAGTAGGTCCGCTGAATCAGCTTTTTGGAATCTTCATTCGTGGAAAACCCGAGTCGGAGTTTAAAATCGGAGACCAATACAATTGTTCTCAATTGGTCTTTTCTCCGACAAATACAATTTGTTGCAGAGGCATTTCTTTTTCACTTTGCAGCCACTCGAAGCGTGCTGCTGGTGCCGGCATCCGCTTCAGCTCTTGACTTGTCATAGATGCGGGTCCATAAAGGCCAAAGCGCACATGTTTACAATCTGAAATCATTTGTTTGCCGCGAAATTGCTTGGAATGTGTGAAATGCTCCGTGCTCCCGATCAACCTTCACTGAAAACGTGTGTATACAAACATTTAATTTTCAATTATTCGATCACCATTCATCTGTGTACTACATTGAAAGCATTGCTATGGTTGATCCTCCTGCAAAGTTTGTATCGAGCGAAACATACATATTATAACCGAGACTGTCTTGAGGTATGTATGTCTTCATCACGGATTGAATTCCTCAATTATGACGTAACTTGGGCTGCAAAGCTAATTTAAAGTGATGTCTAAAAGATAATATTGAGTTGAGTTTAAGGTTTACTCATATAAATATTATTAAAAAACAAGAGAGAACGCTATAGTCGGGTGCCCCGACTATCAGATACCCGTTACTCAGCTAAAGGGAGTGCGAAAGAGATGGAGAAAAACTTTGATCCGCCGTAACTTTTTAACGAATGGTCCGATTTAAAAAATTTCTTCTACATTTCGATAGGTATTGATAAACACAATAAAACTGCATTTTTACTTTTCCAAAATATTGAAATTTTTAAAATCGTATATATGCGATTGTGAAACAAACTTGCGCTGCGTAGGAACTCCTAGAATCTGCATGCAAAATGTCAATCTTCTAGCTTTTATAGTTTCCGAGATCTCAGCGTTCATACGGACAGACGGACAGACAGACAGACAGACAGACAGACAGACAGACGGACAGACGGACAGACGGACATGGCTAGATCGACTCGGCTAGTGATCCTGATCAAGAATATATATACTTTATGGGGTCGGAAACGCTTCCTTCTACCTGTTACATACTTTTGCACGAATACAATATACCCTTTTACTCTACGAGTAACGGGTATAATTAATGGCTACGAATTTCTAAATCTTTAGGTTATTTCCCCGATGACAGATGTCTGTTGCGGATGATATCTAAGGAAAGCCATTCCAAGGCAATGAAATTAATGTGGAGGGCGCTGGCGGAGAAGGGTCCAATTGAGCGCAGCACAATTTACTTCGACTGCAGCGACCAATTTAGAGATTGTTGAACTCACGCAAGCCCGGCTGTGGCTGTCCGGTTCGAAGGGTCTAATCTACGCCTCGAGATCTCAATCTTGCGAACGCATGTGTGCCGCCTAAGAACTGGGTCTGCTGTGTTGTGTTGTCTAATTTGGACCGCTCAGACAATTGCACAATTTACTAAAGAATGTGTCTAAGCGTCACTTAAGAACGCATTTTTCAATTTATGCCGTCCTCCAGATGCAAGCGATAGCTCTACAGAGTAATGTATATTGCTGGAACCCAGTTTCACTAAGAGATAAGTCCATAAAAATGGCATTTCCATTTCTTATTTTTAATGATTACCAAGCTTACAGAATTTTATTCAGGTATGTAAGTAGTATAAAATATATAATAACTAGACATCGGATTTTGGGTGAAAAACATATTTTAAACGAGCAGTCCAAAAATTTGTTGGATTGCACACAAAGTTCCATGTGACGTATTTTATTTTGAACGCGGCATATTTTTGCAAATTTTACCCTTTTTACCAGGGACCGTAAATAACAGTTATTTGTGATTTTTATTTTAAAAGGCCTTCTGAGATTTGTACAAGTTTTAATTAACAATTTAACTGGTTTTAATGCACTTTATAGACATGAACAAATAACAGTTAATTTGCTTTCCAGATTTGTTGAAATGCATATACTTTGTGGACAAGAGTATAAAGAACGTTATTTTTGACGTTTAAAACAAATTATCACAGTTAAAATAAAAATCTCAAATAATGATTATTTACGGTTCCTGAAGCAAACTAGTAACTTAAAATAGAATAGAACTACCCAGTAGTTACATTTTTGGCGCTCATTTTCAAAAATTCTTCGACAAATATCGATAGTAGCATGGGCATACTAAAATGTACCCAGGAAGGGTTTCACTGGATTTTTTTAGGGCCACATTGCAACAATTTAACAGAAATGTTAAGATACAACGTTTTTACATTGGAAGAATTGTTAGTCCTCTGCCGCTGCTCTGCCAATGTAAGAAAAATTGCTGTTAAAAAACCATTAAATCTAACATTTTTGAGCGCCAAATTGGTGGAAGGGGGAACTGGTTTAAGGAAACGCGCGCCCTCTATGTGTGGGATGTGGATGGGGATTTTTTAGGCAAACATTGAAACTGGCCAGTCTCAATTTAACAGAAATGTTAAGATACAACGTTTTCTTACATTGGCAGAACTGTTGCGCCTCTGCCGCTGCTCTGCCAATGTAAGAAAACGTTGTATCTTAACAGTGCTGTTAAATAACCACGAAATCTAACATTTTGGAGCGCCAAATTGGCGGAAGGGGGAACTGTTTAAGGCGCCCTCTATGGAAACATATATATATCGATGAATGGATTTTTTAGGCAAACATCGGCTGCTTGGTATTTTTCAGAAACGCAACACGGGCCCACCACAAAAAAAAAAAAAACTCGATCGCTTTGGACGTGCGGACGCTCGTCGCGTAATTGTTTTGTGGTGAATACAAAGAAAGCAGAGGAAAACCGAGTTTTCCAGTGCCGCGACGGTGCGTAGAGTTGTGTACAGACGCCGAACAGGCCGAATAGGCTTCCTCGAGCACCCTTGTGTATTGATAGTGTATACACACTATGGGCGCGTCTCTTTTTGTTCCTCCGTGTGTGTGTGTCTGACGTCGCTGCGTCTGTGTCTCGCCCTCGGCCAAAGTAATTGCACAGCTTATTTATATTAAGATTCAAAACCCGAGACGCGCGGGGAATCGAGCAGCAGCAGAGAGCTGGCAAAATATTGAAACAAGTGTCGTCGAATTGTGATTTCTCGTCGGTTGAATTTTCGCACGCACACAGCCAGCGGTGCTCGCAAACACACTCGCACATAAGCAAAACGAGATTTTGCAAGTCGCGTACGCCTGTGGTGGTTGTATGTTGGTGTTGGTGCTAGTGCTGGTGCTTGTGCAACTACAAAATTCAATTGTTTATTGCTGGGCATAACTGGTACCCTGTACCCTGTACCCTGTACCCCACCCTGCAAGTGAGCGACAATAAGGTGTCGCAGTGGCGCCTCCTCTCTTCCACCTGCCCCAGCGTCGGTGACTGTGAGCGATAATAATAGGAATTTCTACTCGCCGCTGTTGTGAGTTCCAACGCGAAAAGCCACAAGTGAAAGTGGCATACCCTACTTATCTGCGCTAATTGGCATCGGCATCGAGTCTTCGATACCCAGTGGATTACATCGCCGACTGACTAGCAAGGAACTGTGAGTATTTCCCTTTTAGGACTGGATTACATGGAAATGAATGCTATTCGTGGCGCGTGATAAGGCATTAATCACCATTTCGGTCGTATCTGGCTACAAACCTCCGCCCTTGTTGCTTGTTTACTGTGCTCCCTGTCACGATCTTTCTTCCGCCTTCCCCAGGCTCTCTCAATCTGTCTTGGTGCTCTTTAGATGCAGCTACTGCACATAGGGGATTGCAGAATAAGAGGAAATACGGAATGCAGGCACGGAAATCTGACATTTAGGCAAGGCGGACGGCTGCTGGCTGCCCACGATGCCATTTAAATAACTGCACTTCCGTGCACTTGGCATTTGGCTAGAGTCGCTTGCTCTGATGGTCTTTTTCGACAGTTCATTGACTTGCAGTTACGCAGGTGAAGTGTTCGCTAATCCCACCGATAAGCTCCTTGACCAGCTTAGATTGCGATACTAAGCTGCACTCAATGCTCCCAAAGGCAATTGAGTCGTTGAACCCTTCGCAGAACAGCGGGCCAAACCAATGCCAGTGCGTAACCACGCCGAGAGCGAGTGCGAATACCAAAGTGTAAACAAGTTCGGAAAACAAACGGAAACAAAGAGTGGAGCAGACAGTGGAGCCCGTTGATTCGCCTCGCGAGCCGCTGTAGCTTGACTTCGATTCGGTGCTCTCCGAACTGCGCTCGTTTTCGTTTCGCTTCGGCACTGAAAAGAACACCTTCTCCAGATACCTTAGATAACTTCTCGGCAACATCGAAAACCAGCGGAGATGCTTCCAACGGGAGCTGATTTTATATGGAGCGACTGTTGGAACCAGTCCGGGGACCAGACCGCTTGAGGGGGAGAGGAGCAGCCAGCGGGACAGGGCAATTAAGGTGTAATAACTCTGTCGAGTGGCGATAACTGTGACATAAGCGCTGCAACCGCCGCTGTCAATTTACCTGCCGCATGCCCGCTGCCGCAAGTTGCGTCGGCAGACGCTTGCCAAATAGTTGAGTTAGTTAACCACAACAGGCAGAGGGGTCCGAGTGGAAGCATCCGAAACGGGAATTCGTTTCAGAGCAGAAGGCAACCAGTTTGGATAGGTTTCCGATCACTAATCATGGCAAACACTGCGGGCATTCAGGTTCGTCAGCGCAAACTGAAGCTGAAAACTAGTTGAGGCTGAAGCGAGGCATTTAGTGTCACTATTTTTGTTTCTCCACTTGCTTGCGTGGCTGCTGTGTTTTTGTGTGGTAAGCGGAAATTAAAATTGATAAATAATTTATTGACAAACAAAGAGCGACTTGTTGGGGAGAAGGCTCGGATAATTGTGTTTTCCCACTATCTTTCTCGTTGTGTGCACAGTTCGGATCATCCAGATCTTTATCCGATATGATTCTGTTCATATCGCTATAGCGATTTGGCCGAGACAAAGGAAGGTCGCCCCTTCACTGAAGTCGGCAGCTGAATGCTGATTATTGTTTTGGTTTAAAGGTGACGTAATTATTCCGAAAACAAACATCTTTTTGTTGTATTTGTAATTAAAATATATATATTTTGATCAGTCCACAGCTCCCCAAAAATTGAAGCATTCTTGAAACACATCGAGAACAGAAAATGTAAAATGCTCAGAGACAACCGGAAGTACTTGCGGACTGTGCCTCCTCTTCAGCGGGCGAAATGCGAAAGAGTCCAAAGGCAGTGGAAAAAGTGAAAGTGATTTCAGGGTATTGGTTTGCATGTCTCCAGCAACCCACGCGACCGAGTCTTGATTACGCAAGACAATCTGTCGAGGCAAGTTGGTTACTAGAGGTTAAGTAGGATTCTTTGTCGACCTCTCCACGCTAGACGGCGGCTCATGTGACCAGCTTATTAGTAGTAGAGCACGTCGCTGCCACTGGGTCACAGAACCACCGCAAAGGGAAAGATAGAAATGTGGACTGTAAAGCAAAGAAAGGTATTGGGCCTTTGACGTATTTGAAAGTGTGCCCTGGCTAAGCTTCAGGTGAACGAACGTAACAACTTCTAGGTGTTCAGGTCCAACGGGACAGCCTTTACTTGGGTCTGCGGCGACTAGGCGGAGGACGCTTATCGTAGATCGGGCGTCGCACTGCAGTCCGTCCTTTTTGGCCATGCTGATTACGGCGCAGCAATCTGCGCCGCCGAGTAGTCCTTCGTATGCGAGCCACACGGGCCAAAATGCGCTGGGAGATTGGAGGAAAGTGAGCTAAAGATACGGTCTTGTTTACTGTGCATACTTCTGGCTCGAACAACCTTTTCTTGGCATCGCTCAGCGCGTTCCAATGGACGAGGCCCACCTGGAGTAAGTGGCGCAGATCGGAGCGGCGAAAGACGTTCCGCTTCAGGTAGCGGAGGAAGTTGAGGTAGGGCAGCGGTGCCACCCGACCCGGGTCGTCCACTATCCCGGCGGCGCGGATCATTTTCGGCTTGGGACGCACCATAGAGCGTGTTCCAGGAGCGCTTGAATGAACTGAAGAAGCGGCCTCTTAAACCAATCACACAGTAGTATCCAAAACAATAAACCCAGCTGTTCTGTCATGACCGATGTGGGGAGAGTTGATTGGGGAAATGAAGGCTGCTTAAATTTTTCTTAACGAATTCCTATTTCCTGACGTAGTGCCTCGTGAAAAGCAAAGGCGTCCAACAAACAGAAGCAGAGCGGGCCAAATTATCAATCTCATCACAAAGATCTCGGCGGTTACCCACACTGAAACTGAAATGGCTGCGCCCCTATATAGACACATTATCTGCTCACGACGCCCACAAATTCATCACGACTTGTGTATTTAAAGTCCGAGGCGCGACTGCTTCCATCCCCTCTGTTTCTGTGTCTGTCGCCCTCGCCAACAGCGATCATTTATTCATGCCCGACCGAATGGGATCTGCCTTTGAGAGGCACTGATAAGGTACTTTGTGCATCCGTCCGATCAAAGTCCGTGCAGTGAGCGCGCATCTTATACTTAGCAAGAGGAACGGTTGAATAGGATGACAGAATACATATAAACATAGAATAGGATAGCTTTGATTGGGAGGCAATGAATTATTTCTGTCCAAGATCCTATTGTCATGTGTAAATCTGTTCCGCAGGGCTCTTAATTTTTCTGCGTGCCAAAGTTGCACTATTTAGTGTGGGTTAACGGTAGTCACGCAACTCTTTCAACTTGAAACAACCGCGTGACTGGGTTAACAATAATATGAATTTTACGATTTTGGGAATCACTTTCGCTGAATGCAGAACTTTCGTTAGTCGTAACGTATTAAGTGGCCATAAGGGCTTTAATTACTTTCAATTTTCAACCAGAAAAAAAATCTCCCAAGGAATTGATGTGGAATAGAGTGGAACGATGGAATGGGCGATGCGAGCTCTGCTTTTCCTCCGCCTCTAAGCCACCCAATAGTTGTGTAACTCAACTTTCCCCCAGCCGAAGATGAGAAATTGCCATTAGGCTTTTCCTCATGCACTCCGGCTGACTCGCTGTCACTTCTTAAAGCGACGTAAAGTTAATGTTGTGTGACAATGCCGATCATAATGCATTCGGGTTGTTTCTGGACCCTCGCTGCAGCTGCTTTTGGAGTCCAATTTTAATGGAGTCCATTTGGGGCCTAAGTTCACTGACAGCTTGGAATCGCCGTGACTTACAACTGTGCCTCGCCTCGCTGCAGTTCAAGCAAACATTGTTCGAAGTTTGGGCCAAGGCAAGTGGATTTGCTCAATTAGATAGTTCAGTTAACCGATTTCGGAGACATGAATACGAGTTCACAACAAAGTGACCGCTCTCGTTTGTCAGTTTGTAGGTTCTCTCGCACTTACGCTGGAAGTGAGCACATAATAATTCGTTTCTGTTAGCTAATAAAAAACGGAGATAGAGAACTAGTGTCTCCAAAGATTAGATTATTTCTGTAAATTGATTTTCTGTCACTGTAGTATTGTCCGATCTGCAGCGAACAAATTTGGTACCTGACCGTAGACTTGTCCCATGTTTACCTTGGGGGCTGATGAACGGACGTGAACCCTGTTGAACGGAGTCAACTCAGCTCCTGATGTTTTTAACAGAGTAGGGAATTTAAACATTCATTCAATCTCGACGGAATTGGTTGCCTTGGACCAATTTGTATTCGGTGTATTGGATCGGTGTGGTTCTACAGCCGCTGGTCTCATATTCTATGTATTTTGAAAAAGTTATTCCACTACGTGCGAGCATGTGTGTGTAGTGTGTTGCCTGTCTGATTGTGCTGACCTTGATAGCAACGTTCAAAAAATCACAGGTTTCAGAGGGAGTCTGCTTCGGCCGTAGAAAAAATATCTACCTCTAACTGCGTATATATCTGCCTCTAACTGCGTTGTCTCGCGCAGTTTGCGGTTTATTAACCGCACAGAAACGGAATGTGAAACTTTAGATTCACTATTGCAACCGAGCGTAATCTCCTTAACGGCTGTTGCTGCTGCCAATGATGTGGATTGGTTCCCAGTGAGTGCAGAGTTGAAGATGAAGAGAGGTGGATGGGATGATTTGGAAAGGATTTAGGAAGCGAATATTGCACAGAGTTCATTTTTAACTAAAAGCCAGCATTTCATTTTAACGCAAAATTTGTTCACTTCAAAAACTGGTTTTCTTTCGCTAACAACAGCGAGTGATGCGGAATGCTGTACCACAAAGCTGCACTTGGTGATCGGATTCGCGGGCTTCTTGCAAACATGTGGCATAGGTTTGGTAAATCAAAAACAAAAACGCGCGGACTGTCTTGCTTATTCAAATCCATATTGCAAAAGTTGTGCAAGTTGTTCGGCTGCCAATTTGCATATCGACTAAACGACCTTCGCTTTGAGAAAGTGTTAAAAGTTGACCGCTGGTTCGAAGTTCGACAAAATTAGTGGCCACTTACAGTTGCTCACCGCCTAACATATGCCGTTCCGTCAATTAAGTTTTCTTGCATTTTAAGCGATCGCGGTAGCTTTTTTCCTAAATGTAATTAGCTCCCATTAATGATTGGGAACAGATAGGTGAAGCCCTTAAAAATATTACCGCTATTTAATATTAAAAAATATAATTATTAAAGTCTTGAAATATTCCTGTTTCTGTCGTATTTTTAGCCTTGAAAACATTTACATTAAATTTAGTATCCCAGCAGGCGGCCACGCCCTGCGCCTGCGCTTCTGAGCTCAGGAGCCAGGAAATGGTTGTAACTTTAAGAGAGTTTTCAGCCTTTAAAGCTGGTCCGTGTATCTATTTGAAATGTAAACAAGCCTTCAATTAATGAAATGCTTCGGAGAAGTATATTTGATGTAGGTGAATTATTTTTTGGAAAAGGTGGTACAATATTTAATTTCTTACAAGCGGAGTCAGCGACTTGTGGGTTAAGTGGGCGTGCAATTTAAGTGCTAGTCTTGTATGCAGATCCCCGCTGTGCGTCTGCTGCCAAGATGAACTGCAAGCTATGTAGAACATGAAATAATAATTGCATATTTTGTGGAACAGCGCGGCGGAGGGTTGCGAATTGCAGAGAACGGAGCCACGTCGTTGGATCATTAAATTGCAGAAATTCCCGGGTGGCACAATTTTCTTAGCGAATCATACAGCCTCCCAGAATAAGTAGGCTGAGAATGCAACCAACCAACGAACCACTTAAAAGATCTGCTGCAGCTGCAGCAATTGAAAGTTTTTTACTTTTGCAGCATTGAAATGTCTTCTGTTGCCCCCCAAGTTCGTTGGCAGCTCTCAGTTATGATGTCCCATGCTCTGGAGTTCGTCAAATGAAAACTCGGCGTGTTTTGCAAAGCTCCCAAATCGCTGGAGCAGCACAGCTGTGCGCTGAGAAGCTGATTCCAGCTGCTTGCGCAAGCCGCAGCTGCTGGGCTTCGCTATGCTGCAGCTGAAGCCGGAATCGGAGTCGGTGAACGGAATGGCTGGGAAACAGTTGGGGGAAACCGAGCACATTACTGCACAATATATTCGTTGAATAGCCGTGTGTAATTGAGCCGCAAGGCTAGATAGCAGCTATCTTCTTTGTGAGCTTTCATCTTGTATGCCGTTTCACCAATCCACTACTGTCGCTTCCACCCGGTGCATTAGTTTGGTTCGAGAAATTGGACGAATCTTCTTCTGTGAGCTGTTTTCGCAGATGAAGATGTGGGTATTTTTATTTTACCGTTCAATCGACTTAATTGTCCAGTCATGGCACTAAAGAAAATTTCTGGTAATTCGCTTCCTGCAAGGTAGCTGTTTCAAACCTTTTGTAAACCAGTTTACCACAAGTGTGACCATTACTTCCGGCCAAACAAGAGCTCCTAAAGGGGCCTATGTAGAATTGAATTTCAAATTATTGCTTCACATATAATTGATCCGTTGCCGCTGGAATGTGTCTAGTTGCTGGCTTTTCTCGATATACAATTCCTGCATTCACTGGAGTCCAATGTGGCTATTTCCCTTTCCCCAGATGGTGGGAAACTCGTTTGTCCCCGGCCCGTATGAAGAGATGCGAGCTCTGATTGATTGCCGTCTATGGTTGGCAGACTGTCTGCCTGGCTTTCCACATGGGCGTGTCCTCCACCAAAGAAACATTAAATGGCAGCATAGTTTTACGATGGGGAAATCGACTCGACTATCGGATAAAATTAACATGGTCTTTGATTTGGTTTTCAAAGAATCCGGTAATAGTCTAGAAGAGCGGCCTGAGCACCAAAAACCGCGAAAAAATTACCCTCGATGGACCGCGATTTCTTAGGAATTTACGTGCAGAAGATTATTTGCGGAAATGCATTGTTCTCTTGTAATTGCATTTCAAAGTTGCGTGTTTTGCTATAAAAACAAAGTAGGATTTTCTAGGATTTTGAGGTGTTTTGTGTCATTTTGCTATAAAAAACATATGGGCTTTCCGTTTGTTGTCAAAATAATAAGCGTTCGAAAAAATTCGACAAAAATGTGAAATTGTTTTTATAGCAGGCCAGACCCCACAACCGCGAATTAATATCCTCGATGGACCGTGATTCCTTAAGAGCTTGGGCGACCATGGATGACCAACATATACATTTTTAAGATGTGTCTTAAGAAATCGCAATCCGAGGAGGATCAACCTTAGTCTTTATCAGTACCTCCTTATACTTGTAACTTATTTGTAATAGTAAATAAAATGCTATATAAAACTATGGTTAATGATTGGACAGTAAATATTTATTTATAAAAAATGCTGGTTAGTGGTACAGATTAAGCCTATTCTTTTTCATTGTCCGTATCGGTGGATTCCTGAAATTTAAGATAGTTAATTGTTAGTATTTAAAAAGAGATGGGAAATGCTAAAAAAGCGCCGGAGGCAAAAAAATAAAAAAAAATCGCGCGATTTTTTTTTTAATTTTTTTGCCTCCGGCGCTTTTTTAGCATTTCCCATCTCTTTTTAAATACTAACATCGCGTTCAGGATTAAACAATTCGCCCATTGCTGAGAAAATTGCATGGAATCTTGAGGTGTGGTTTGGGTGCCTTTTCAAAAAAGTGAATCGCGCTAGGTACCCTTGGTAGTGCTCCGTTTTCCGGCCATAGTGGGGAATGTTCTCCTTTAGATCACGCCATAGTCTCTCTATTCGCTGTGTATTGGCTCCCGTTTCAGGGTCGACGAAGTTTACTGAGTGATTAACGGTCATGTGAGAGTAGTTCGCATCCTTTAAACCATTGTATGACTTCCAGCAGTCGGATATAATTTTGGTTCCATTGGCGATCTTGGCCTCTATAATTGGAAGGAGCGTTTCCTGGCTACGGTTGCGGGCTTACTGCAGTTGGGACAGTCCTTGCTCTTTAGAACAACTCCATGTCTCTGCAGAAATGCAAACACTTCTTCTTCGTCCATGGCAAGAAAGTCTTTATAAGAAATAGTGCACCCGTTGCAGGAATCCATAGTAAACAAAAATCAAAAGTGCAATTTCTGATTAAGCAACAAAAGCCTACTTGTTTTTTATAGCAAACCCATAAATTCCTAGAAAATGCTCATTGTTTTTATAGCAAAATGACACAAAACACCTCAAAATCCTACTTTGTTTTTATAGCAAAACACGCAACTTTGAAATTCAATTACAAGAGAACCATGCATTTCCGCAAATAATCTTCTGCACGTAAATTCCTAAGAAATCGCGGTCCATCGAGGGTAATTTTTTCGCGGTTTTTGGTGCTCAGGCCGCTCTTCTAGACTATTACCAAGAATCCTTTAAGTTGTTTCAAAATCAGTACATTTTTTATACCGGTCACCTGTGTACTTAAATCTCTCTTAAGTTTTTCCCCAAGAAACTTTTAAAGGCATATAATAAAATACTATAGTCTCCTCAGTTGCCAGCTTCGAAAGAGCACATTCCGAGATTATAGAGTTTGTGCGCGAGGCTCTGCTCTGAACGATGAATTGCTTGTTAATGTCTCAGCACTGTCACACGAGCGTGATTCCAAAGGTGCCAGCTGGAATGCTCAGGTCGGACTGCTGCTTCCACAGCATAGTGGCCGCTTCATGGCAGCACAGCGGAACGTGGCCGACCGATGAAGGCCGAACGCAGGCCAGAACAATTGTAGGATTGTGCAATGCCACACTAAAAAGTCAAAGCTTATATAAAACCAGTTTTCAGCTGAAAATGTTTGTTGATTGGCTTCGGATTGCCATAAAACGAGCTATGGTGCAAGAGTCAACTTACAGCATGCATTTCTGTAGGCTAAAGGACTTCCATCCTTGTGCCGATAATTTCCCACACTTGGGTACGGTTAGCGGTATGCAATTTGATCACCCTGTGTCAAGTGGAGTCGCCTTACAAGGTTACTCGGTATTCATCCCTCTGTTTATGGCTCAAGAGCGCTTAAGTAGTGGATGTGAAAATGAGTGTTCTTATCGGGCCTCCTCAAAATCAGTGGAACCTGTGTCAAGTTGGGCTAATATCTGAATAGCGTCCACATTCTTTTTTTATTATTCTGTTAGTTTGTGTGGCCAAACGTGTACAATTTTAATTATTGTGGCACCCAGGAATATTTGGGTATATGATTCCCTAGTCTGGGATAGCCATCGTTTAACTACGAGAACGTTTTCGTGGCCATTAAGCTAGGAGTGTCTGTTGGTTATGCACGTGTTGCTGCTTTAAGGGATGACGCACGAGCTGAAGAAGGGGCGCAACAAAAAGAGCGTGCCTATTCCGAAAAGGAATTTTACCAAACCGTGCCCAAAGGCTGCGAACAAATGGGCCAGTCAAACGGGTGTTTTTTAAAGTTCATGACACACGCCACGGTACAGTAAATGTTTATTTTTTAAACTAACACAATTCCCACTTAAATTAATTGGTGTCAGGTGTTAGAGTCGTACAGGTCAAAAAATCTGCAAAACACTCTTTAAAATCAGTTGCAGTTGTCAAATCAGTTACATATCATATTAATCTATATAATCGTCGATTCAAACGTATTTTATTGATCACTAATCCCATTTAAATCACCTGCGACAAATCGCTCTAACCAAACATTTAACGCCAGCACTAATTGTTGGCTAATGTCCACTGCAGATGAGCTAAGACGTAATTGGGGTCAGGTCACAAACTCATGAATTTTAAATGTCTCAATGAAAGCTGCACATCCGAACGAGAATGCTGGGCGATGGGGCCGACTAAGATAAGACTACAAAGCCGAGGAGCAGCGCAAAACGGAAAATAAGGCATGAGTTCTAGGCGTGGAAAAATCAAAGTGCAGCTCTTCCGTTCCGCACACATGTACTATTCCCACGTTCCATTTCGCACTTTCGGACAGCTCGAAGAGAAAGGGAAACCGTGCTAAATGTCAATAGTCCAAAGAAAGTACCTCCTGGTTTGTTCTTGACATCATGACTAAATAGGTCAAGGCAGTGCACAACTATTGGGAGGAAACACACTCTGAAAGACAATGTCCCATCTCCCACATATAATATATAGGTTTTTAATCATCATTTATTTTAATTCCCCAATGCCGTAAAATACCGACTGATTGCGATGTTGATCATTCGTATGTTTTTATTTCTAGCTGCTCTCGACAGCCAAAAATATATATTATCGCATGCGTATGTATGTCTAACTATGTGTGTTTTTTAATAATATAAAGTGGAACTTTGTCTCGCCGAGTCGAGTTGTTATTCGGAGAAGAACAAAATAGCCTTTATTTTCAGTACTCTTCTTGGCTCGTGACCTAAGGAGTTTTTTTGTTAGAAACAAGCAAATAGGCGCGTTTGGAAGAGCCTACGCATAATGTACTTTATACAGTTTCAGGAAATTGCATAGTGGTTGGCTACGAAGAATGCGAGGGTATTCAATTGATCGAAAATTACTAATTGACACCAATTTTTTGTTTATCTTTCCAGCGCGTCGACAGGCGAGCAGCGCCTGCAGCTACGACAATAACAAAGGCCGCGGTGATATGAGGGCCACACGCTTCGCGACAATGAGCGGAGGCGACAGGGCGGATAGCTGAGAAGTCGACCTATGACTCAGAACGAAATATTTCACTCGAGAGCCAATAGCCGAGCAATGGAACACGAAAGCAATCCCAAGGTTGTGCCACAAAGAACTGCGTATATAGCCATTTAAGTCAACTCAATAACCGAAAGAAGCCAAAAGTTGAACCCTGCCCGCAACAAAATCAAAATGAACTCGGTCATATCTGCATTTAAGGGAAAAAAGAGTACCGCCGCGAGCTGCAACTCGCCCACGAGCGCGGCCAATGGAACTGTCACCGGGGAGAGCAAACAGAACCACGGCGGAGGAATCGTCGGTGTCGGCATCAGCATAGCCAGCGTGGGCGGCGGCGTGGCCAAGAAGAAGCCGGTGGCCCAGAGCAGTGGCTACCAGTACTTGCGCCACATACGCGAGATCGAGACTGCCAACAAGCTGCTTTCCCCCATCGTGGTTGTGGCGGAGGACAGGCCGGCCGGTACTACCCCGGTGGCGACAATGGCTACCGGAGTCGATGTGGTGGACCACTGCTTGCCGGCGACGGTACGATTGTCCAGTGCCGAGACGCTCTCCGATTTTAACATGAACGGAAAGGCCGTCGGAGGCGTGGGCCCGTCCACAGCAATTGGCGACAACGCGAACCTGGAGGTGGCTGACACCTGGACTTGCCCACCACCGACTGCGATGACGGACGACGAAGACATCTCCGAGCACTCCACAGCCGCCTGCACCAGCACCAGCAGCTCGAGCGAACACAGCAACAGCACCGTGGTGCACAGTCCAACGGTGGCGGAGAGCACCTCAGCTTCCGTGTCCGCATCGGTCAGCCATCCGAGTCCCAGTATAAGTCAGCACAGCTCCTCGTCTGCCACCTGCGGGATGAATAGCCCTCACAGCCAGTCGTCGCTCGCCATAACCTGCGAGCCGCACTCGAGCTCCACCACTACGCTGTCCTCGCTGGGATCAGACTTGGGCAATGGAAACGGAAACAACATTCCCGCCTTCTTAATGGCCGCCCCGGTCACCTTGCCCATTGGAGGCCAGATGCCCACGACCACGGCGTTGCCGGGAGCCAGCTCCGCCGCCAGTACGCCCAAGCACTCGCGCTACTCCAAGCCCCGTCTCAGCCTGAGCCGAGTGTTTAACCACTCTATGCCCTCCGTGCACGGCCGGCCCAATCTTAGTGTCGCGCAGTCGGGCGACGGAGCCCCTTGTGCTTCCACGGGAAGTACCGCGAATCCCCCAAAACGTATTTCCACGCACCAAAGAAACCTGAGTTTGGATTTCAGGTGAGTCCGGTTAAATCTTTCCATTAAAGTGTTAGTAGTGTCCTATACCTATTATTAAACTGGCTGAAGGGGCAGGGAAAAATTGCAGCGACTTTAAGAGTTTGGGGGCGGAAAAACGACGCCTCACGCAAACGTAGCAAAAGTCTCCACTTCAGCTCCTCCCAATCGACTGCTTCCTTCGGCAGGAATCCGGTCGCTAAAAAGGACCTTTTAATTTGCATTGATTTGTCGAGCCACTTGGCTTACCTTCGTCGGATAGAACAGAATTTCATCAGATTTCCATTAAACTTTAGTTGGTTCGTTTATTTATTTGGGTCGGTCTGCCTCCGCTTCCTAGAGGCCGAGTATGGCGCACAAACAGAAACAGCGCATGAACATGTAAATAATCTTTAAAATAATACATTTTGCCTGTGGAATTTCGTTACAGGCTGCAGAACGTGCACTTGAGTCGCATTGCGTTGGTGGAGGCCCATAGATGCAGATTTCTTGAAAAAATCCGCAATGTGTGCCGAGCGCTTTTTTCTTTCCTATGTTAAAAGCTGTACATAAAGAAGTCGACAGCTATGCACACATGTAATGGCAGAAAATCGAGTATGCAACACGGCAGTTGCAACTGTGTAGTTTTACATATTCGTCAAGTTATTGCGCACCAGTGATTCATGACTCTGCCGGACTAGAGAATGGAAATGTTCTTACAGTACAATAATTTTACGTGAAGCATAAAAATCAGCGCATAGGAGATTATTGTAAAGTAACACCAGCTTTGCGATTGTCAAACCATTTTGATCAGCATTAACTCCGTCACCCAAAGCACCCTTCAGGGCTTAAATTTGGTTGACTAATACCCAGTTTGACCGTGGAAAAGCTATTGCTGCTGTCTGCTGGCGGGCTGTGTGTATGTACACGAGTTGCCTGCAGATGACGTGCCACACCCTGTCTTTGTTGAGTGCGTGCGCCGGCAAAGCGCTCCTGTGCGGCTGTACGGATGTGGAGCTTGCCCATCCCGCAGCACCTTGCCGTAGGCGGCACCCCTTCCGCCTGCCTAGGACAACATTCGCCGCTCTCGCTCTCATGCCGCCAATTGTGCGGTTGCAGCTTTTCCCCCCACCTTTATTTAATTTCGTTAGCTTTCCTTTTCCTTCAGCCTCCCCCATAAATACTTCTTCCTTGCAACTATAAACTTTTAGCCACTCGGGGTTCCTCTGTTCCAAGTTCAGAAGCGAACCCAGCGGCAAATACCAAATGAAAAGGGAAAAACGGAAACACGGAAGGCTTTTGCTACATTTCAGCGGAAGTCTTGGGCCGTTTTTTGGTCAAATAGAAGGTAAAAGGAGTAGATTCTATTGCACTCGCATGGCGAATGGAAACGTTTAGTCCGCACAGGAAAAGCGTTGGAAAACTGTGCTATTGATAACACTTAATTCAAACAAGCAGTGATGAATGGCCAGAAAGCTGGTGCGCAAACACAGGGGCTTGGTCAACAAACTTAACGAGGCATTTGCACTCAGGATCCGAATGTTTAGAGCACGAGTCGTCGACCTCTGCAAGTAGATAGCAATGTGACGGGAATAGTTTCCCCAATCCCTAATCAACCAGAATTTTTTTATAGGGGTGAAGGGTTTGTCCCACAGTCTCGGAAAAAGTAAGAGCCCTGCTCCCTCCGAGCGGCCTTCAACCGAGTTTCGAAGTCTACTTACGCAAATCACAATACGTGATGTGCGGACATTAAGCAGGCAGGGCCCATCAACAGCCAATGCGGAGGCAAGCCCCTGGCGAGCGACGGGAGCGTCGAAAGCTCGGCAAATTAATGCAAATGCGTAAATAATTGACACAACGAGCAACTAATGTGGCTTGGAATGCTTGGAATTCGCTTTGCACACAGTCGAGTTCACAAGCCTCGGTTGCAATCTCAGCGTCGGAGACACCTAGAAGCGCAGCCACATGCCAGACAGCCCGTCAGCGAAGTGGCCATCGCCGGCAGATGGGCGAACGACAGGCGACCCGCATGCGAAATGAGATGGCGCGAATGTTGGCAAGGCACCAGCCAATCGATCGCATAAGGAGTCCGGCATGGCCACAGAACGGCAGTGGTCCGCCCCTCAGCACCAGGAAGCATCCGACTTGAATTCCTCTCGTCCGTCCAAAGTGATAATCCAATGGCTGTTTGCTGTTGTTTTGCTCCGTCAGAGATTGTTGAACCCGCGGTAAAAGTGGGTTGGCGGGTGCAAAGCGCACCTATTTCCCCGCCGAAGGTCGCGGCCCCGTCCCTTCGGAAATCCCGTGAGAGCACGGCAGGCCGGGCAGGTTATCATACTTCAGCGCTTATCGGGCCTGATTGCTGTTCGCGTAATAGGTGTACTGACGGAGATAAGGCTTCCTGGCAAATACCTGATAAGGCTGAGATACTGACTCTCATATCCACCCTCGCACCGCACTCTCTTGAGTACTTGGGGCGGATCGGCGAGCTTTCACTACGTCATCGTCTCGAGCTTTGGCTCAAACCCGCAAGCTTAGGCAGCGACCAGCTGTCAACAAAGGCCCCCGAAAGCTGCTCGATTAGTCAGCCATTGTGGGCCGAGTACTCGCGTAGCTTTTCCCTGTCGACTCTCTGTTGTGGCCCTCCGCCTCCGCCACCCCCTATCTATATCCATTTCGCAGTGTTTTCGGGCTTCTCTGTGTTTCACGCGCATTGTTCTCGACCGTATGTATTTTCCTGGCCTGTGTATGTTGCTAATTTAATTTGAAGGGAATCGGAATCGCCGCCTAGCTGGGTTTTATCGTCCGGTCAAATCGCTCGGAGCGATATGATAACTGCGACGTAGTGAACGAGTGAGTGAGCAGTGTGTGTGCCCGAGTGCTTTGCCATTTCCAAGCATATTTCCCTTCCCGCAACAGATGCATTGATTTTTTCACATTCTAATCCGAGTTCTCTCTGTTCTCCTTCCAGATCCATGGGCATACTGCTGCCGCCCGTCTCGCAGGTGACCAATACTCGCATTAACCATACGCAGCACCACCGGAATCGCAGCCTCGACAGTGCCCTGCAACGCATTCCAGAGGTGAGTTTGCTACCAGTGCCCAATCGAGGCAATTAGCTTCTCCGAGGCGAAGCCCCCACCTGCACCGCGCTAACCTTGTTGGCCGCGGATGCACATACGAACACTCGAAGCACACACCCGCAGTGAAAGCAGTAAAACCTGGAAAGTTTCTAAGTCTCTATCTAAGCGTGTGGCTGTGTGCGACGAGCTGTTTATTTATATTTTATCGTTGCGTTGCTGGCATTGTTATTCACTTTTGCACTTACCCTAGTGCTAAATATTTGTGTACTTTTGTCGTTATCGAGAGTAGCTAAAAAGCCGCCCATGCCAGCTCGGAACTGTAACAATGCTTCACTGTCCTCGGCCCCGCCAATGGCTATCCATAGAGTGATCTACAAAAATCTGTTATCTCCCGTCCAGGTCGAGGTGTCATCTCCAAATGCCGAGAGCGAAAATACGTTCTGTTCCCCGTCCATTCTCGGTGCAAATATGTGCTCGAAGATTGCCACGACAGCTGCGAGTGTAACGGCCGCTCTGTCCCCCCCAGCCACGCCCACACCGGCCCTGATGTCTGTGCCGACTACGACGGCGTGCACGCCCACGACTGCAGCCACTAGGGCGAACATGCAACATCCAGTGCCGAAGCACCAGCAGTCGATTTGTCTAGCATCCGCCTGCAGGTCCAGTGCCGTCGGTAAGATCCACCTATTGTACCTATTGCTGTCACTTACTCATAGTCACCGTACTCTTTGCAGTGGAATCCTGCCCAACGCTAAGGGTGCGGCCCAAGTCCAGTGAATCGGTTGCGGCCAACGGACAGGAGATGATCGGGGCTATTGTCAGCAGCACCGGCAACGGCGGTAGCAGCAGCAACAACAGCTGCAGCAGCGCTGGCAGCAGCAAGAAGCGGGAGGATCTCACCAGTCTCGGGTCAGATGACTCTGGTAAGTGCGAGCGAACTTTTCAGTCGATCAGTCGTGCCTTTTGCTTTCCTGTATAATCATGTGAGCAACCCCTCATTCCTACACTGTTCCCACCTGCAGGCATCATCTGTGGCTCAGAGTCGGACCAAATATCTCTGAATCGCATATGCCACTCACATGAGTCGCTCGATTCGGGTGAGATGGATGCGGACGCCGAAGCGGATGCCGATGCAGAGGAGGAGTGCGTTGATCTAATGGAGACCACGTCCATCGACGAGGAGTACAACCCAATGCAACCAGACCATCTCTGCTTCTATCCCCCACACGCTTCCACCGACCTGGACTGTCGCACCCTGCGTCCATCTCGGAAACAGAAGCGCCAGCAGCAGCGGGCCCTGGACCAGGCCAATGAGGTGTCCCACAATCAGCACTCTAGTGGAGACACTGTGGATGCAGGCGTCGACGCCCGAACACGGTACCGCGTTATGAACATGTCCCAGGCAGCTATCAATGTTGAGCTCGGCACAGCTCCCAATGAAATCGAACCTGCGGATTGCGACGGGGAATCCAGCCACATCGCGGAGGCAGATCCCTTGTCCACACCTTGCGCTGCAGCAGCGACACCAGCCACTCCACCGGCAATCCCAACGCCGATTGCAACTCCCACACCAACGGAGAGTACCAAGAACGATCAAGTGCTATTTAAAAACTTCTTTGGGGCCACTAAGAACGCCATCTTCCGAACAGCCCAGAGCATTATCGAAAACCATGAGAAGAAGAACGCAGCCAAGCAAAAGGAGCAGCCCGATCACTCAACGGCGGTGGCCGTAGTAAGTTCGCCAAGCGGAGGTGGCACTTCGCCACAGGACCAAGTCAAGTCACCCACGGACATTTCCAAAAAGAAGGAATTTTTCAGCCTGCTAACTTCGAGTTCCAGCAAAAAGGCTGCCGCTGCTGCAGCTGCGGCTGCTGCAAGCTCTGCTGCCAACACACCTGTTGCCACGCCCACGGAACCACAGGCGGCATCGGCGGATTCAAAACTGCAACAGCCTACCGACCCATCTGCCGACTGCAAGGTAAAGGAGCGGACGCTCAACTTGCGCCTTCCGGGTGCAGATAGTGAAGCTGGTGAAGGAGAACTTGCCAAGTGCTCATCCATCAACTCGCTCCACAAACTAAAACTGCCTGTCCCCGGTGTCGTGAAGTACTTTATCAGCGAACGAGCTCCCGTGACGGACTTGCTTCAGAAGCCAGAAAAAGGACAGAGCGGCCTTCTGCGTTTCTTTGAGTCACCAGTTTTCAACATACATTTCGCTGTGCATTACCTCTTTTACTCGAAGGAACCAGGAGTGCTAAGCTTCATCGGCAATAAAATCTTCAGTTTTCCCGACCAGGAGGTCGATCTGTACATACCGCAACTGATAGTCATGTACATTCAGATGGATGAACTAGCCGAGGTTCTGGATCCGTACCTGACCATTCGGTGTCGGAAGTCAGTGGACTTTTCGCTCAAGTGTCTGTGGCTATTGGAGGCCTACAACTACCAAGTAGACTCGCTGGGGAACTCGCACAGCAGCTCCCGGAAATCAAAGCTGGCGCTCATGAAGGAAATATTCTCTAAGAAGGAGCACAAGCTGGCCCAGAACGACCTGAAGTCTGCAGGCACCGGCGGCGTCGGGGAACCGAGGTCGATAGTTGCCTTCGCAAAGAAGACACACCACCGCTCCCAGTCGGACGCCACTGTGCTGCTAGCCGACTCCCGCTCGCCTCACACACTCAGTATATCTCACCGTATGTACCAGCAGCCCCCGTACACAACGCAAACTCTTCCCACCACACCCGCTAAACTGTGCCTCGGTGACTTAAGCTCAGGACACGCCTTCGACAACGGCTGCACCTGCTTTGAGACGGTGCGCGGCCAAGTAAACGGATTGCTGGGGCAGAGGACGCTATGCAGCTGTGGAGCTCCAAAGACGGCGCCCCAGAAAGAGTTTATGAAGGCGTTGATGAATGTGGGTAAAAATCTAACTTCATGGCCTTCTAAAGCGGAGAAGACTTCAGCGCTGCGAATGTCCCTCAACCTGATCAACAAGAACCTGCCCGCAAGAGTCTGGCTTCCTCTCTACTCCGACATTCCGCACCATGTCGTTCGCATTACGGAGGAAAAGACCGCTGTACTCAACTCGAAGGACAAAACCCCGTACATCATCTACGTAGAAGTGGTCGAAATTCCTGACATATACACTTCGCCCTTGATACCCAAGATGATGCCTTCTCTGCGGCACACGAAGAGCGAGGAGCACCTGGAGGGGTCCTGCCTGAACTCGCACCAGCATCTCAGCTGCAGCCGTACTTCCAGCTGCAGCAGTAGTCAGCAGGGCACAAGTGGCCGACGAAAAAAAGGAGCTGAGGGCGACGGCGGCTGCGGCGACGCTGGCCCACATAACTGTTGCGGCAACGCCCATTCGTTGGGTGGACTTCAGCTCCAGGAGGATGATGTGTGGTCGCAGGAGGAGGACGAGATTACAGCGCAGTACCTTAATATGCGGAAAGTAAGCGAGCGGGACACCATTTCACAGATGTCACTGGACTCTTGCGATTCACGGGACCAAGGTAAGGGTACATATGAAAATGAATGGTAAGACCCATTCTAAGCAATCCATTGGTATTTTTTAACAGGACCACCAATCGTCTTCAATATTGGCGACGTGCGCTTGCGCCACTGCAGCAACTTGAGCTGCGAGAATACTAAATCCTTTAGTAATGATCCAGAAGATCCCTCGGCAGCAGCCCTTAAGGTTTGTACCTATTAACCTAATTACATTAAACACAATATTTACAATAATCGCATCCTCTAGGAACCGTGGCACGAAAAGGAAAAGCTCATCCGGGAGTCCTCGCCCTACGGCCATCTATCGAATTGGCGGCTACTTTCTGCCATTGTCAAGTGTGGCGATGATTTACGCCAGGAACTTATGGCTACCCAACTGCTACAGGTAAGACCAGTTTGGATAGGCCAATAAATATTCGTTTGAGCTCTAAACTCATGTTATATATCGCAGATGTTTAAAATTATCTGGCAAGAAGAACAAGTAGATCTTTGGGTACGTCCGTACAAGATTGTCTGCCTTTCGAATGATAGTGGTCTCATTGAGCCCATCCTCAACACTGTCTCCCTCCACCAAATCAAGAAGAACTCTAACAAATCATTGAAAGATTATTTTATCGATGAGTACGGCACACCAACCGGAGAGAGTTTTCGGCGCGCACAGAAGAATTTTGTTCAAAGCTGTGCAGCGTACTGTCTAATTTCATATTTGCTTCAAGTCAAGGACAGGTAGCACTAAATAATTTCTATTGTTGAACATTTTATCACTAACGTTTCTTCCATTATATTAAGGCATAATGGCAACATACTATTCCATTCGGATGGGCACATTATACACATTGACTTTGGATTTATTTTGAGTATATCTCCAAAGAACTTGGGTAGGTACTTTGCCGTACTTGACGGGCGAGCATATTTCTAAGTTGTAATTGGACTTTTACAGGTTTCGAACAGTCGCCCTTTAAGCTTACGCCAGAATTTGTTGAAGTCATGGGTGGCACCAGCTCGGAGCATTGGCGTGAATTTAATAGGCTCTTGTTGGTTGGGATGATGACTGCCCGAAAGCATATGGATCGCATTATAAACTTTGTGGAAATCATGCGCAGCAGTAAGTTCCGAAACGAAATGGCTCAAATGTTCCCATTTGTTTTATAATACCATTTTTTCACAGATGCCCATTTGCCATGCTTCAAAAATGGATGCTCCGGAACCGTACAGAATCTCCGAAAACGCTTTCATATGAATTTAACCGAGCAAGAAATGGAACGAAAAGTTGAGCAGCTTGTACAGGACTCGTTGAAAAGTCTGTCAACCAAACTGTACGATGGTTATCAGTACTATACGAATGGCATATTGTGAGAACGGTTTTTTATGAAGATCTAAGGGGGTAGTCATAATAAGCAGATTGAAAATGCCAAGCTGGTAACCAAAACAATGGACTGACTTTTTTGTAAAGGAATTATTCTATATTATTATAATATGTAATTATCAGCGACAAAAAAACAAAAAGAATGAAATTGTACCAAACCTAATCTGTTATCGTAGCTTAAATCGTTCGTTGTATGCGTTTGCACTGTTGAATTAGCATAATGTGTATGTTGTCTAGCTTTTAAGGAAGAAGTGTAAATGTTTTGAATGTAATTTTAGCTTGTTTGAGTGAGATCGCGAGTGTCAGAGTGTTATTCCATTTTGAAATTCATAATTTTCTACTTGTACATATATACACATTTTCAATAACCAAGCTTACATTTTGATAACTCGTTTGGTTGCTACGCTTATCTCTTCATCCTTACATAATTTTTTACTCCGCCGCTTTTGTAATTCACGAGTATATATGTTAAAGCATCTAATTCCAATTTTTAGTCATAAGTGTAAGGTTAAATGCCACTTTGCTGCAGCTTAAAAACAGCAATATAATCTTTAAGGCAATCAATTTAATTATCAAACAAATTTACATAATTTTAACAAGAATATGCCACGAGTACATACAGAAATAAATGAAAAGTTTGAATCGCCGTCAACTCTGTTTGTATTTGCCTATTAAACCAATTATAAAAAGTAAAATAAATCCTAATAATTTTCTAACTTAATATACTTCTAAGCTATTGCGATAAAGATGGGAAATCAAAGCATACGAAACAGTACTAAAACAAATAGCTAGGCACTGAAAGTGAACAATTTCGAGTTTGTAAAAAAGTGAGCAGCACTTTGGAAATATTACATACCTGCGTGTATATTTAAGTTCGCACGCAAACATTAGCTACAAGTATTTGAAAATGTAAATTAATATTTCTACAATTTATTAAATAATGCCACTAAAATAAATGAGCATATTGATATACAATAAAAAGTCTTTAAGTTAAATGCGGGTCGAAAGCTAACATTTTAGAAAAATGTGTGTTCGGTAATAACTAATAATAATGAATAATACCTTCAGTGCGCCGAAGGTTCATATCAAACAAAATGAATCCATTTTTTAAATTTAAAAATAAATACAAATAATTTAATAATTTTAAACTTAAAAGCAAGCAGTGCGCAGTTTAGCGTTAGTGTATTTTAAAGAAGAAAAGTAATCGATAGTGGTGAACTCATCGATACATCGATACGCTTGCTGACTTACGTTTGTTTACCTTTCCTTACGTTTTTTTAAAACAACAAAAAAAAACAAATGGTAAGATTCGCGAATGTTGCTTCGGATTAATATTAATAGTTGTGCAAATTGTCAGGGCAAAAAGCGAGCATGGCCATGGCCAAGACGGGCTCGGCAGAGACGGCCTGCTTCCCCTCTTCGCAAAACTGCAGCGGCGCGAGCCCACAAAGGTCCCCAACACGCGAGCTGGCGGTGTAAACCTACAAGTTCATCAAGGAGCTGGGCCGCCTTATGGAGCTGAAGACTATTCTGGTTCTTGGTGGCGACTCCAGGGACTCCAGGCCGTTTTCTCCACTTGTGTGTGGAAATGGACTTAGAGCTGAATTTCGAAGGTGAGGTTGCCATTCCTAGAGATAAAACCAGGTTCTAATGTTTTTCGTTTCACAAACTTTGTAGTGTTCTTTGAAACGGGCTCCGGCGAGCAGCTTAACGAAACGCTGCACAGATTGCCGACTTCCCGTCAGATGGCCATGTTTTTGGCCACTCTGCCAAAGCTTTTGGTGGAATCTGCCCGCGCAGGCCTGATCGACCCAGGCCTAACTCGCTTGGACGTCGAGTCCATACTTTCGGACGGACACGCTCTAAAGTTTATTTGCTGCCGACCGGACGACCGCTACACAGGTCTCGTGGTTCTTCATAAGTACGTTATTCCTGTGGAGACGCAGACCGTGGTGTTGTCAGCGAAAACGCTTACAAAAAATACCTGAAATGATCTCAGTAAGATCCCAGTTAGCATCAACTGATGCCAACGCGCGTGATTTATTAGTCGGCGGACGAGCACACAAAGGATGGGCCTGCCATTAACACCTTTGAGCGTCAGGCGAAGAATGCCGACATGAAACACAAGCCTGGGCAAAGTGCAGGACTAAGTCGGGCTAAGTCCGGTGCATGGACTCCAGAATGAAGGAGTAGTGAAAATGCAGATAGTGATAATGACAATGTTAAGCCTCAGTCGCGAGTGGAATTAATTAAAAAGTGCAGCGAGGACCACGCCGAACGAAAAACGATGGGCGCATGCGTAGCGTGCTGAAGACTCATCGTCAAAAAACTCAAGAGGTATGACATTTATCTTATTCCTATGATTAAGCTTTTTATATGAGTTTTGAAAGGCATTTGGCCAGGCACATTGCAAAGCTTTTTGCCAGACTTTTTCTAGGCTTATTGCCTTTTATTGATTTTTGCCTGGCTTGTTGCTACTTTTGAAAAGGGCTTCATCCTGAAATAAATACTCATATATTATAAAAACAGGATAGGTAGCTGTATGGAAACAGGCAGACAGACGTCACTATATCAACTCGGCTAGTGATACTGATTAAAAGTAAATCAGGTACGTAAGTACCATGTTCATATGAATAAACATGTGTACTTCCCAAAACTGGTTATAAATTATACTCATCAAATGAAGACATTAACAATATGGATAAATATATATTTATTTATTTGGCATATGGAGCATATTTCTGGTTGCTAAGTTTATACGGTTGTGTTTTCTATATTCGTTTATGGTTAAGGGTTATTTTTCAGAAACATGTACGCCTTTAAGTATAAATTGCTCAACTGCACTATACGTTTTCCATTTATTTGTGTACAATTGGTTTTGGGCGATACATTTTCGTTTCTACATGCTTTCAAATACTTTTGTTGTCATGTTTGTCTGGTTAAAACTTAACAAACTGGTGCGATTGAGAAGTGCGCAAATGAATGTAGATAGCCCCAGGTTTACTGTATGACAAATCAACCAAGTCGAGTTGATTGGAGCTATTTAAATTCCTAGCTGACTTTGCATTCTTGGTTTCTGCTTAATTGATTTCTGTATTCCTTACTTTATTTTAATTTATTTCTCATCAGGGCTTGTATTTTATAATAGTGCAGAATCGGGGTCTGGGAATTGGTTCAAAAATTGTTCGCGAAAACTTTAATATTTAATTTAAGAACAAATTTTTTTTCTTTTATTGGCAACGTCTATTAAATAGAAAATTGCTTTATGAATTTGTATCCTCTGGCCAACTTATAGATACTGTAAAGAGACAATAAAATAATTCTTGCCTACTGAGTGGGCAATAATTTAGATACTAATGGGATACATTCGTGTTTCTTTTTAGAAACAATTAAATTCGCTCAATTGTTATTTTGCATTTAGGTTGAAGTGTATTGTAATGTTAACGTTTTCTAATATTTAAAACTTTAAATTGACAATTAACCAATTTCTGTATAATACAATATTGTTTCATATCGAAATGACGATTTGTTCACATGCAATAATATTGTTCCTTTATTGATTCGTTACTACCTTTATTAATAAGTGTTATTCGATTGTAGGTAAGTTTTGCATTTTTAACGTTGAATACATGCCATATCGGATTGGCCTAACAAAAACAGTAACAAATACCATGGTAGTAGCATGTTTCATTGCACGTTAAATACATAGAGTGGTACTTAATCTGGTCAAAATTTGCCGTTTCTGAAGTAACAACGTTTCGTAAACGTATTTCAATATTGATTCTGTGGGTAGTTTTCTATTCAGCTTCCGGAATTCTCTAAACAAACGAGGTATTCGAACAGAAAATTTTAAATAATTTGCGGGTGTTTATTATCGACTTATCACGTAACCTAGAATTACAAGTATGGACAGGTAATAGGGTTTTAGACTAGCAGTCGGCGACATTTGTATATAAAACCGCATTTGTTCTTTGTTGTAAATCTAAAATTCTTATTACCGCATTATTGTTAGGTCGTTTGCAAATCCTTTGACAGAAATAAATAAAATAAATCCTAATAATTTTCTAACTTAATATACTTCTAAGCTATTGCGATAAAGATGGGAAATCAAAGCATACGAAACAGTACTAAAACAAATAGCTAGGCACTGAAAGTGAACAATTTCGAGTTTGTAAAAAAGTGAGCAGCACTTTGGAAATATTACATACCTGCGTGTATATTTAAGTTCGCACGCAAACATTAGCTACAAGTATTTGAAAATGTAAATTAATATTTCTACAATTTATTAAATAATGCCACTAAAATAAATGAGCATATTGATATACAATAAAAAGTCTTTAAGTTAAATGCGGGTCGAAAGCTAACATTTTAGAAAAATGTGTGTTCGGTAATAACTAATAATAATGAATAATACCTTCAGTGCGCCGAAGGTTCATATCAAACAAAATGAATCCATTTTTTAAATTTAAAAATAAATACAAATAATTTAATAATTTTAAACTTAAAAGCAAGCAGTGCGCAGTTTAGCGTTAGTGTATTTTAAAGAAGAAAAGTAATCGATAGTGGTGAACTCATCGATACATCGATACGCTTGCTGACTTACGTTTGTTTACCTTTCCTTACGTTTTTTAAAACAACAAAAAAAAACAAATGGTAAGATTCGCGAATGTTGCTTCGGATTAATATTAATAGTTGTGCAAATTGTCAGGGCAAAAAGCGAGCATGGCCATGGCCAAGACGGGCTCGGCAGAGACGGCCTGCTTCCCCTCTTCGCAAAACTGCAGCGGCGCGAGCCCACAAAGGTCCCCAACACGCGAGCTGGCGGTGTAAACCTACAAGTTCATCAAGGAGCTGGGCCGCCTTATGGAGCTGAAGACTATTCTGGTTCTTGGTGGCGACTCCAGGGACTCCAGGCCGTTTTCTCCACTTGTGTGTGGAAATGGACTTAGAGCTGAATTTCGAAGGTGAGGTTGCCATTCCTAGAGATAAAACCAGGTTCTAATGTTTTTCGTTTCACAAACTTTGTAGTGTTCTTTGAAACGGGCTCCGGCGAGCAGCTTAACGAAACGCTGCACAGATTGCCGACTTCCCGTCAGATGGCCATGTTTTTGGCCACTCTGCCAAAGCTTTTGGTGGAATCTGCCCGCGCAGGCCTGATCGACCCAGGCCTAACTCGCTTGGACGTCGAGTCCATACTTTCGGACGGACACGCTCTAAAGTTTATTTGCTGCCGACCGGACGACCGCTACACAGGTCTCGTGGTTCTTCATAAGTACGTTATTCCTGTGGAGACGCAGACCGTGGTGTTGTCAGCGAAAACGCTTACAAAAAATACCTGAAATGATCTCAGTAAGATCCCAGTTAGCATCAACTGATGCCAACGCGCGTGATTTATTAGTCGGCGGACGAGCACACAAAGGATGGGCCTGCCATTAACACCTTTGAGCGTCAGGCGAAGAATGCCGACATGAAACACAAGCCTGGGCAAAGTGCAGGACTAAGTCGGGCTAAGTCCGGTGCATGGACTCCAGAATGAAGGAGTAGTGAAAATGCAGATAGTGATAATGACAATGTTAAGCCTCAGTCGCGAGTGGAATTAATTAAAAAGTGCAGCGAGGACCACGCCGAACGAAAAACGATGGGCGCATGCGTAGCGTGCTGAAGACTCATCGTCAAAAAACTCAAGAGGTATGACATTTATCTTATTCCTATGATTAAGCTTTTTATATGAGTTTTGAAAGGCATTTGGCCAGGCACATTGCAAAGCTTTTTGCCAGACTTTTTCTAGGCTTATTGCCTTTTATTGATTTTTGCCTGGCTTGTTGCTACTTTTGAAAAGGGCTTCATCCTGAAATAAATACTCATATATTATAAAAACAGGATAGGTAGCTGTATGGAAACAGGCAGACAGACGTCACTATATCAACTCGGCTAGTGATACTGATTAAAAGTAAATCAGGTACGTAAGTACCATG